GTTTTTGTCATATTACAACCATTGCATTGTCTATAGAAATTGCGGCTTTATTCCTTGTGAGATGCAATTACTGTAAATTACTGCTTTTCTGAAACGAGCAAGCCTCAATGACGTATTCAGCCGACAAATGAGACACAGCTAGTGTTGTCAAAGGTGCATTCAGTAGTTCTTTACCGATTATCAGGGTGCTGATATCTATGCAAAAAATCCACACCGAGTGTCTCACCCTCGATAAAAATGGCCATTTGGTGCCCCAAAGGAGACGTGACGGTGCCCCATGCAGTCTGCATGCTCGGTGTATATGGAGTGGCACTACTGGCCGTTAGCATTGCTGTTTTTCATGTACTTTAAGTACAGATACCACAATTGTGTTAGCCACTGCAGTGCCATTTATGGACGTGATTCAGCATGGTCATCTCTGAGTTTTACGCAAATTATACCAATTACAGTGAGTGTTCTACACAATTCCCTTACATGTTCAACAAAAAAGAAGCAACTTGTCCATCACTACTCAGGATTCTCTCCATAATTAAATCTTTCCACCTTGTTGCATGCAGTACTGTTGTTTCTGCTCATTTTGTCTGTCAAACTTTCTGCTTTCTGAGCTTCTCTGCTTCTTCGGCCATACAGATTGATTCTCCTGTCGTCTCCACTGGTAGGATAATAATAGAGGTCCATCATCTAATTTACGCCCTTCACATCAGCAAACAGCACTTATCTACAGAGGCGGCAGATTCTCTTTGACGTTTGGTGAAACACTGCAAGTCACATTATTCATACACTTTTCACTTTGAGTGAATATCATTCAGATGACTCTGATGAATTTATTTAGTAAGGTGTAAATCTTTTTAAATTAGCATTCAACTGCTGAATGCTCCTTTAATGTTAGTTGCAGATTTGACAGAACACTCACAAACCATTCAAACACATGCTTATATTATAGGTCTTATTGGTTTATGTAATTCTTATAGTGCAAATAAAAATGGCAAGAGTCGGCTAAAAATGACTGTTTCTGATTGGCTGGCTGGCTGGCTATTAAACACCTGCTAGGGGTCAGGGAGCAAGCTTTTATCAGTTTGCCAGGAGACATAATGCTCTTTACAGGCTTCTACAATGAGTGTCTTAGAAGAAAAAAATGCATTTGCCAGGAATTTGCCAATCATGCACTGAAAGATTACAATTAAAGAGTTAAAGGGTTGATTTCAAGGTAGTTGTTAATACAACTATTTATTCCACTTTGTTTGGTTTATTGATTAGAAAAAGAGTTGAGCCGCTGAAGGTTTATACTGTGCAAGTATCGTCTCCTCAAAAAGAGGAAGTTCCCTTGGACTTTCCCTTGCTTAGAGGGAAGCAACACAGTTTGTGTTGCTGTCTTGTTTTCTATAATGAATTAAAGCATTAGAACCAAGCAAGCACCTTCCTGTTTGGTTCTCAAAAACCCAGTGCAAAGTCAAACAGGCTAAAACTGAATGCAGAGGTTGCCTGAATGAGTCCAAAACAGAAAGGTTTAACCGTTAGCTAAAACACAATGACTGGTGCACTTACCACATCGGCCTCATCAGATTTGCAGTTCCTTTCTAACGCTGATGCAATCTGAAAACCACAAGCAAAACTAATCAAGTCCTATACTCTAAGACACAAAGAAGCAGATTTCCACACTACAAACACTGTGAACACACAGAAATACCTTTAGGGCGAGCTCTTCCTTCTTGTATCCCAAAAGCTCCAGATATTTCCCTCGTGCATCTTCTTCAAAGTTCACCTGAGCACATAAATCTATTGGTTACAACTTCAATAAAGATTTGGCTAAGTAATACAAGTACGACAGCTTATAAACTATTCTAGTGTCCCACCTTCAGAAAAGACCAGACGGTCTTCTCAAATTCACTCTGAGCAGCTTCAGTCTTGGTTTGGCAGTACTCAAGGAAATTTCCTGCAGTGAGCGTCGCCTGAAGTTGGTTCGATCGATCAAGGAAATATGTTTCTGTCACAACCTGACTGATATGAACCACATGGGCAGCAGTCTGCTGGGGCTGCTGGGCCGCTGGCTTGATGTTGTCCAAAGTGACTAGTTTTCCACCAAACTGCTCACAAAAAGACAAAAGCTGATTAAGAACAAGCACACCATGTTTAGGGTGTCTAAAACGTACAATGCCAGATCTGTGGTCGCTTACAGCAAAAGATGCTCCAACTGGTCTGCGGATCCATTTGGGAGGTTTCTTGAGAGGCGTGACGGTGCTCTGGGACGGGGCGGTCTGAGGCAGCTGTAAAGGCAGCAGCGTCTTGCCCGTACCAAAAGGATCCATATTTCCAAATGAACTACTTAACTGTTGAGCCAAAGAACATCAGGAGCAACTGTGAAAAGATCAAGCTCATGAGAAAGTTAGCTTGTATTGAGAGTTCAGTTGTACCTGTTCGGCCTGTAAAGTAATGGCGTTGTCATTGCTTCCTCCCATGATGGAGTAGATGCTGATATGGCCATCGAAGGCAGCAGCAGACAGCACAGCTGGGTTTCTGGGACACCACTGGATGTCAAAACACCACTGAGTACTGGTAGGCAGCTCATACAGGACCTGATTGAAAACGCATCACATGTTACACCCCGTAAACTTTTGGTGGCACCTCAGTGTTCTTCAAAGGACTAAGCTCTCACCTCAGCCGTGTTGGGGTTCCAGCACAGGATCCGGTTATCTTTCCCACAGCTCAGGAGCAGCTCTGGATCTGCTTCACTCCAGGCTATGGCCAAGACACCTCTGAAAGCACACATAGCGACAGATGAGGACACAGAAAGACTCAAGGAGGGTAGGAGCATCTGCTGATGTTTATATCTACCTTGTGTGGCTCTCCAGCACTTTGAGAGGGGAGGTGGCAAAGCGCAGGTCCCACATTTGGATGACGGGCATTCGGTCATCTTCAGACGCCAGAACCAGCTGAGTAGCCACCTCCGGGTTCCAGGCCAGACCAGAACAATGCATCTGAACCACAACACAAACTCCATCAAAATCACACGCATCATGAACACTAACATGGTACTCCGTATCAGACAGTAATAACGACATAGGACTACAATCTACCTCAATACACAAGCATATCCCTAGCAGTACTATGGCAACTAGGGCTGTCAAGCGATTACGTTTAAAAAAAAATCTAATTAATTACACAATGTGGTGATTAATTAAAGGGATAGTTCACCCAAAAATGAAAATTTGATGTTTATCTGCTTACCCCCAGGGCATCCAAGATGTAGGTGACTTTGTTTCTTCAGTAGAACACAAACGATGATTTTTAACTCCAACCGTTGCAGGAAACGAGTTGACGTCGAGAGCTCTTACTGGTCCCGTGTGTTTCTCGCTCTGGGAAATGATCACTTCACTGTCTCCAGCAATGATTTTGGAGGCGTCATAGAGGATGATGTTGCCGTTCTCTCCTCCAGCGATGAGGACACCTGATGGCAAACTCTGGTCTTCAATGCCATGTGGACCCCAGACTAGTTTGTGGTATCTACAGACAGAACAGAAAGGTTACTGAAAATGAACCCTCACCAACTACAAGATGAGAGCATAAGACCCTGTAATAGAAATTGCAACACTAAATGGTTTATATTAATAATGCATCAGAAAGCTAAAGAAAACATCTGCACTGAAAGCTAAAGAAACAAAGCACTGTTATCAATGCTGGCATTTGTTTGGTGGTCACTTGGATGAGATCATTGTAAATCATTAGCACGTAATGTGAGCAAAACGCAGTACCTGTGTGGAGAGGAGAAAGAGCCACATGACTTCATGGCTAAAGTGGGATCAGACAGATCCAGCTCAAAGATCTCCAGAGACGCATTGGTGCTGAAGGTGGCATCGAGCTGCTGGGCCGACGTACCTGAACACACATTCATCAATGAGATACATTAGACCAAACAGACATCAGTCAGGCTAGCGCCATATTTAACAGAAATGAAAACGAGGCTGTGAGTGACTGACGTACAGTGAGTTCAATGTATTGTACTGTTAATTAACAACAACATACAAAACAGCTTTCTGAAAAAACATTCAGTAGGCAAAAACTACATAATTCAGGTTTGAAAGTTGTGAGCTGTGAAGATTACGGGATCTAGGACCTTTATACAGTGCGTGCCATTACAAAGACTAAGTCTTAAATCTTTTTTTATTTATCATACAATTAACAAAAGCAAAAAAGGCCTCTAACACTAGCTTGCTCTATTCTATTCTTTTATTCTTTCACCCGCATTAAATTCAGTATGGCGTCTAACCCGACTGAGGTCTATAATTAGACTTTTCCCCCCAGACTTTTGAGCAATTTCCAGTTGCATGTGATTATTAAGAATGAAATTCAAACTGATTCACTAAAGAATCATTTAGACTGATTTGTGAACCAGTTCAACAAACTCATTGAAAAGTACGGACCACAAAAAAAACAACAAAAACACTCAGCGCTCACTGCACAGAACAGACGCCGAGAGAGGTGACACTTCTCCGGGAAAGTCAGATCTAGCGTTCGTAGGACAGCACTGGCGAAATCTTTTGCGTATTTTAAAAATTCATATCATAACAAAAATAAACACCGGTATTCGGTATGAACCGGTATACCGCCCAGCACTACTCAGACGTCAACATAACCTGTGAGCAAGTTTGATTCTACAATAGAGCAATATCACAAAAAAATGTCAAATCAAAAAGTAAACTTTAACTGTTAATAACTTTGAAGCCATTACAAATACTTAATTAGTATATCAATATCAGACTGTTCATTAACTACAAATCTATTAAGCAATTTCATGATCCTGTAAAAAAAGTATTGGTGTTCATGTTTATGGATCAGTTCGTGCAGGTGAAATTCCTCATGTTTACTGTACTGTGTTTGATAGGAAGTGTTTGGAAGCGTCTGGAGGAATGAATACAGTTACCTGCTGCCAGATAGATGGGGTGCTGCTGTGCTGGACTCCAGGCCTGGAGAGCGGTTCGCTTAATTTCTTTCAGCTTCATCCTAAAAAGATTCATATGTTATGCACTGATATGTATGTATTGGCCATGCTATGACTGTTTTAGTAAATGTCCCATTTACAGTCGATGTCCAGGTAAGGCAAAGGTTTGCTCTGTTCAGTAGACTGTTTAACCCAATGGGAAGATCTACCAATTGACACTTTGCAGTATATCTCCTAAATATAATGAAATTATACATGAAACATTCTTATGACAATAAAAACAGAATACATTGTAACAGCAGCTGGGGCATTCATTGCCAAAACATAAATACCATCCTGCTGCTAAATAATTTAAGACACAGTACCTACAGCTACACAGTTTGCAAGTTACAGGACAATGAATGTTTAGGAAAAATCAGAATTTCATAACAAAGCGCTGTTATACATAAGAAGAGACGAGGTTCTCACAACAGGCACGTTTTAGTGAATGAAATGTGCAACCTGTACACGCAATGTCCATTACAGAGGTAATAATGCAGCAGAGAGGCTAATGCAGAGAGTTTTAAAGGTGTTTACCTTCTCTTGTCGTGCTTCCAGACACACTTCCACGTCCCCACTGCTGTCCATCAACGTGGCACAACAAGCCCCGCCCACCGGCGCGACGACTTCCGGCGGAAGAGCTCAGTTAGTGTGTTGTGCAAGTGAGCGTGTTTGATTATTTTTATTGCGTAAGACCATTGTGGACACACTGGCAGTGCATGTTCCTTTACAGTCAGTGTTATTATGACAGTGCCATGCTACAGTGCTGAGTGATTCACACAGTTACTCCAGGTGCTTTAAATTAAGATTGCATAAATAAAACTGAATATAAGTCATGTAAACTGGATTTAAAAGACTTCCTGAGGTCCACTGGTTGAGAAACCACGGCACCAGAAGATACAGTCCCTGACTTAACACAACATTGAAATGCATGAATTTAATTGTATCAAGCCAAACAAACAAAAATACTAACATTTTAATTATATTTAATTTTATTTAGCGTGTGCATAATACTAGTTAGTAATCAGCCAACATTTAGCATATTATAGTAGAATTGTGTAGTACTCCAGTAGCATAACGTGACATTGTTTGAATAACCTGTTTTGAGATTTCTTCTTGGCTGTGTGCCAATTTCTATGTCAAGTAAATATGACGACTTATAGCTCCAGAGGCTAAAACTAAATTGTATTTTCTTTCAGAGTGCAAATCCTGGGCCTGGCCACTGAGCATTGATTTGTCATGTGACCAAACAATCTGGAAATGCACATCATATCCAGCTGTCTGTAAATGAGAGAAACACAAATGAAAATTGGTACGTTTGTTTGTTTGTTTTTAATGTCAAAGCAAATGTATTTAGCTCTAAAATCATACTGAGACCATATTTTGAATTATGCACAACAAAGGTTATGACTGAAAATGAATATATGAAGACAATATTTTAATTTATGTAATTGAAATGTATTAAATTAGAAAAAATGCAAAATAGAAGCGTTTTCGATTTTTTTTAATGTTTTGATATATAAGACTAATGTTCACCGAGGCTGCATTTATTGATGAAAAATACAGTAAAAACAGCAATATTGTGAAATAATAATACAATATAACAGTTTTCTATGTGAATATCTGTTAAAATGTAATTTATTTCTGTGATCAAAGCTGAATGGAAGAAATGACTATGACATGCAAAAACATTAAAATTCAACAAGCATTCTCACACCCACAGTACTATAATTAAAATAATTCACACACAAACATACCTTCTTCTTGAACTGCATTTCACATGTGATTAGCTACATGATTTCGGAGCTCATGTAAATGGTTATACACCGATTTACAGCAGGCACAGTGGTGTTTTTGGCAGCACACTGTGCATCTCTGGATAGACAGCAGGGGACCCTGTCCTCGCAAAAGTATTGTCTGATGCATCTGTGCAGGTTAAACAAATACTGAAATTAAATAAAATAAAAACTATGAGTAAATAAAAACACTACACGTGCTAAAATGTAGCAAGGGGGATGGGAAAATGCTAGCACTTATTAGCTATCGATAGTTACGCGAAAAAACTAACATTACCGATTAATGTTTCAGGGGGTCAAAACATAACAATAACATTAATAGTCATGTCGAGACCGCGATAAATGTAAGATTTAGATTTTATATACATCTCAAAGTTCAGTTTATCTTTAAAGTACAGTTTTCTTACCGTGCGATACAGGTTGTACATCAGTTCGAACGGACTCTACCTGCGTGCGCGCGGTGCATCTGGACCAATGATGTCTCAAGCCCCGCCCACTAGATCCAGCGAGGGGGAGCTAGAGGTCTAAGCCCCTCCCATTTGGCTCTGCAGCGAGCACCCTCTCGCATCATTACTCCAGTCTTCAGAGTCACATGATCCTCCAGAAACATTTCTGATTATTATCAGTGTTAAAAACAGTTGTGCTGCACAATATTTTTATGGAAACAGTGATAGATTCTTTAAGGATTCTCTATATAAAAAGTTAAAAAGAACAGCATATATATGAAATAGAAATATTTTGTAACAATATAAATGCCTTTACTGTTACTTTTAAGCAATATAATGCATCCTTCCTGAATAAAAGTATTGTTTCAATTCAAAAGATATATGTGACCCTGGAGCACAAAAGCAGTCTTAAGTCGCTGGGGTATATTTGTAGCAATAGCCAAAAATACATAGTATATATGCATTGCTAAGAACTTCATTTGGACAACTTTAAAGATGATTTTCTCAATATTTAGATTTTTTTGCACCCTCAGATTCCAGATTTTCAAATAGTTGTATCTCTGACCAAATATTGTCCGATCCTAACAAACCATACATCAATGGAAAGCTTATTTGTTCAGCTTTCAGATGATGTAGAAATCCCAATTTCGAGAAATTGACCCTTATGACTGGTTTTGTGGTCAAGGGTCACATATTTCATGTAACTCTTCACAACTTGTGCTGTTGTCAAGCACCACAGGAAAGCGATCATGCCACGGAACTATATTCGTAAAACAGACTGGGGTTCAGTGACCTATGAGGAGCTGGAGAAAGCGTTCGTCGAAGTCAAGCGTGGGAGATCTATCAGAACAGTGGCAAAAGAAAGAAAGATCGGCAGGTCCACCCTGCAGCGCTACATGAAGAAGGCAGAAGAAAAAAGAGAGAAGACCGTCGGCTACAGAGGAACGGCTGAAGCCAGGAGGATCTTGTCTGAGGAGTTAGAAGAGGAGCTCGCAGAAAACATCCGGATTCTGGCTGAAGGCGTGCACGGCCTCACGCCAAAGAGATGCAGAGAAATCGCTTTTGAATTTGCACAGAAGAACAACATTCCCGTCCCCAACAACTGGGGAGAGCAGAGGTTAGCAGGTAGGTTTTGTTGTGACTCTTGGATTCAGTACTTCAGTTTGTGTTGCTAACTTGAATTTTAATTTCCGTAGGTCGAGATTGGCTCAGTAGCTTCATAACCCGTCACAATCTCTACGGCCACATAACTGAAGCAGCATCTTTGGGGAGCCATGGACAGGTGACAGAGCTACTGTAGCATATTTGACTGAATCAATAACTGTTGACTCGACCAGCAATCAGAAACAACCGTTATGGAAATACATGTGTGAGAGATTTAGAGCTGTTGCATATTTACATTTGCTACAATTCTGTTTGCATTAGGTCATCAGTTTCAGTCTCATCAAGAAAGAAATCCAAGAGGAGTGTGATGTTCCTGTCCCGATTCCTCACGCTTCAGAGGAAGACAGCGCTGAAATGTGTGATTCTGACCGAGACCTCTTAGATACTGACTTATTTCTGACGTGATTTTTGATGCTTAAAGGGTTAGTTCACCCAGAAATGAAAATTCTGTCATGAATTACTCACCCTCGTGTCGTTCCAAACCCGTAAGACCTTCGTTCTTCTTCGGAACACAATTTAAGATATTTTTGATGAAAATGAAAACAAAAATAACGACTTTATTCCACATTTTCGTCTCTACGGAAATGCGCAAAAAAAAGTATTCTCGTAGCTTCGTAACTTTACAGTTGAACCACTGATGACACACGGACTACTTTGTCGATCATCTTGGTACGTTTCTGGACCTTGAACGTGGTAGTTACCTTGCTGTCTATGGGAGGGTCAGAGAGCCCTCAGATTTCATCAGAAATATCTTAAATTGTGTTCCGAAGATGAACGAAGGTCTTACGGGTTTGGAACAACACGAGGGTGAGTAATTAATGACAGAATTTTCATTTTTGGGTGAACTAACCCTTTAATCGTGTTTCCTGTTTGTTTAGGGATATCTTTAAGAAAATAAGTACTTTGAAATTGTTTGAAATGAGGTCACACATTATTAAATTATCATTATTATTCAAAATTCTGTTCATGCTGTTACTTATATAAATCATTCAACGTTTTTTCCCTCAAGATAATACAACAAAATTGTTTCAATTAAAATGTGTATTCATATATGTATTTATTAATTTATTTTTTTGTATATTCCTGTAGCTTAACTGGTAGAGCACGGCATTTGTAACGCCAATATGGATAAGCTTTCAACCCAATAATGATTGTTATCTTTAGATTTTATATCTAAGGGGGGGAAAAATATCAAAAGTTGTACTGTACATAAAATTGTGTTAGAAGATATGAAATATGGTGCATTCAGAAAGTATTCAGACCCCTTCATTTTATCACAATTTATATTTTTTCACATCAGTATACACTGTATACTCCATAACGACCAATCAAAAACCAGGTTTGTGATAACCTTTCAAATATATATATATATATATTTAATATATAAAAGAAACTTTTTTTTCTTTACCAGGGATGGGCTGGTCCAAGTTATGTAATTGGGTTAATGTCCTGTGATGTGTCATGCAAGCTATGCTTACTATATCTAAAATTATTTTAAACTACATTTTACTAATTAAAACCAATAAAGTATTCTCTCAAATGCTTGTTTTGAATATTTCGTGGTGATGAAGAAGTACAATATTTAATTACTTGTTTATTGCTGGGGTCAAATTGCTATTTACAGTCAAATAACAGAATGGTGCCTAATTCATGATAAACTGGGCTAAAGCTTCAATAACACTTCTACTGGATTTTAAAGGAATAGTTCAACCAAAAATAGAAATTTGCTGAAAATTTGCTTACCTCAGGTCATCCGAGATGTAGATGAGTTTGTTTCTTCATCAGATTTGGAGAAATGTAGCATTGCATCAGTGTCTCAGCAATGGATGCTCTGCAGTGAATGGGTGCCGTCAGAATGAGAGTCCAAACAGCTGATCAAAACATCACAATAATCCACAAGTAATCCACACCACTCCAGTCCATCAATCAATGTATTGTGAAGAGAAAAGCTGCATGTTTATGATAAACTTTAAAAAAAAAAATTTAAACCGTTGTTTCTGGATATAAGATACGAGTCCTCTGTCCATAATATTGTTTTCTCTAGTAAAAAAGTTTGGCTCATCTGAGTCAGGAGAGAAATCTGCACAGATCAAGCAAGCCAAAACAGCTCTAAACAAATACATTGGTGAATTTTGATGTGAGAGACAACAGGAGATGGAGTTTTTCACTGGAGGAGGCTTATTATGGATTATGGAGTCATATTTTGACCAGAAGCAACAATTTAAAGTTAAATGGGTCATATGATGTTGCTAAAAAGAACATTATTTGGTGTATTTGGTGTAATGCAATGTGTTTATGCGGTTTAAGGTTAAAAAAACACATTATTTTCCACATACTGTGCATTATTGTTTCTCCTCCTGTCTGTCAATATGGGGTGCTGTGTGTACATTAATGAGGAAAAAAAATTAACTTAAATGATTTTAGCAAATGGCTGCAATATAACAAAGAGTGAAAAATTTAAGGGGGTCTGAATACTTTCCGTACCCACTGTATATATATATATGACGTCACATCCTTCTATAAGATGAGAAAATTATCAGCAGTACACAAATAAAGCAATATATACAGTATATATATTGGTGTACTGCTGATTATGTTCTCATTTTGTAGAAGGATGTGACTTAATAGGTTTTGACTGAGAACTGTGTATGGTATTTTATGTGACATGCCTCATCCAAAAATGATCCAGACTACATTCAATATGGTTCACTTGCATTCTGTTAAAAAAAGTAAAAAAAAAAAAGAAAACTTTCTGGAACTAAGAGAAAGTGTAAAAAAAAAAAATGCTTTTAAAGAACACGACTCCTGGTCTGTCTTAATCTTCCGTGCATCTGCCAGTCAATCAGATAACAGTAGCTTCAGGCATATTTGACGACGGCTACATTTGCATTGCCTTTTCATCATCCCTTTAAGTGCTTATTGTCAGATTAGCAGATCAGAATGGAAAGTCACCATGTTTAATCATCCCTTTGGTCACAGTGTAGCAGGGGAGGCAGATATCATCTTTGCCCTGCGGCGTGACATGTGAGACAGTCAGGAAAGAAGATTAGTCAGCAGAGACCCACATCACAGCTGTGCAGAAAGAAAGGAAACCACCTTCATCTAAACACCTCAGTGAGACATGGTTGCACTGTTTAAATCTTCAAGAAACTTTAAGACACTACACTACTGTCAGGATTTACTAAAGGCACGCAGTGAAAAATGAGTGAAGAAAAGACGTGGACACAGTTATTTTTGCAGCTGACCTTATTACATGTGCATTTGTAAGAGTTCTTGCTCAATGTCAGTAGATCAACCACAGAATTTTCCACTCCCATCAGGGTTTGTATGGGATTACAGCGCTCTCACGCTAATTTACCCTGTTTAGTAAATCTGGCCCTAAGTTCATAATCAAACGTTATTGACATTATGTTTATAGTGTATAGCCAGAGGAGAACTAGATGCCCGGTGTAGCCTAAGGTTGTGTTTTTCTTCATCATCCAACATCAAATGGACTATTTTTTCATTTAATGCCACAGTGGCCTTTGGTTTGCACACCAGAGGACTGAAGATAAGTGATATGGCATGATTTTCTATCAACTCATTGATGAAACTGCTTAAGGGGTGAGCGATATGACCATCATAACAGTGATACCCATCACCTAATAGTAATTCTGGCTGAAAATAGGTTTGTCACTACACCAAAATATTTCTTCAGTCTTCTTTAGAACTATTACAGTTCTCAACATACTCACATAAAGCAATATAGTGAATCTCAACTGGTTAATCGTTTATATTATTGCCGATTGTAGATTATCTGCCAGCTCTAAACTGCTAAATTGTGCCCTATAAAACATTAAAGCACTATAGACCTTATCGGCATTTTAACTTATTACAGTATTTAACTTAATAAAATTACATTGTCTTGGCTTGACTTGGGACCTCTTTGCTTAAGTCTTCAAGACACTATATCGTTTAAAAGTTTGGGGTCGGCAAGAAGTCTCTTCTGCTCACCAGGGTTGTGTTTATTTGATCAAAAATAAAGTAAAATCAGGAATATTGTGAAATATTATTCTAATTTAAAATAGCTGTTTTCTATGTGAATATAGTGTAAAATGTAATTTATTTCTGTGATCAAAGCGGAATATTCAGCATCATTACTCCAGTCTTCAGTGTCACATGATCTTCAGAAATCATTCTAATATGCTGATTTAATGCTCAAGAAACACATATGAATGTTGTGTTGTGCTGCTTAATATTTTTATCGACATACATCTTTTCACGATTATTTGGTGAATAAAAAGGTCAAAAGAACAGAAATTATTTTAAATAGTTTTTTTTTGTAACAACGTAAATATTTTTAGTGTCACTTTTGATCAATTTAATGTGTCTTGCTTAAAGTATTTTTTATGTATTTTTTTATCTTTTTAAATCGTATTGATCCCAAACTTTTGAATGGTAGTGGGACTTAGACGTGATCTAGACAACACATCAATGCCCTGGCAACCAGTACAAAATATACCAAAAAAACCACTCTGGCTATGAATAAAGTACACCCTTGCTGTGAATAGAGGACAAAAACACTCTGGTTGCAAATGTAGTAAATTTTCTTCATAAAATGTAAAAATCTAACTGAAACCTAGTCTTCATCATTTTTTAGTAAGTGGGCTGTTGCCTGCTTCATTACACTGCCTAGCTCTCTTCTTATCTCTTCAGTCATCTGAGATTTATGAGTTACAGCAAAGCTCTAGTGAAGATAAGCGAAAGGATGTTCTCGAATGTTTTTTTATGCTTTTCTTTTTGCCTACATCTGTACAAAAAGAGCTCTGATATCTTGCACAGCTTCAGCTTCAAGTTGCATGAAGTGTTGCATCTGCGGTTATTTGGATTTTGATTGCACTAGCAGGATTTAGTTGACAAATACCAACAGCTTGAATTAAATCCGCAGACAAATCCTGGTGGAACTTTAGTGAACCCAAGACCAGTTAGCAAATTAGTCCGTGAATTAGGCTGAAAGCCACTCCGTTTGTACTTACTGGTTAGTAGAATTAGTCACCCAAATATGACAATTCTGTCATTATTTACTTACCTCCACACGATGAAGCAAAATTCATGTGTTGCTTGTTTTCCATTATTTTTTTTTCCCAAGTAGAATATTTAAAAGAATCTCTTCATATGAACTGCATTTTAAAAAGTCAGCTGCATAAAGATTTGCCACATTTTCTTCTTTTGTGTTCTAGAAAATCTGAGAATGCAGGTTGATAGAATGACAAGCTTAGCACTGTTCGCAATCTAGTTCTTCTCCAGGAGCAAAACAAATCATCTTTATTTGGTGCTAAGCACAGAAATCTGGTCAAGTAGCATTGAGTGAGTGATTGCACCATTGTTATTCAGGACAAAACAAGAGTGTATTCTAGGATTGTTTT